TCTGTGTTACTGAATAAAACTCATTTTCATCACTTACTGATACGCACGTGCTAAAAGAAGAATTACACCTAATGCCCAGTAACTTGGATTTCCTTAACCTTTCAACTCGAATCTTTTTTCCCTGAGTGGTTTACTGCTGAGGCTCTTTGTGTTCTCTGCCGGGTCTTTTCTCTTGCTCACTGCACGGTGATTTCCTGGACTGGCTCATCCAGAGGCATCACACACACTGAATCTTGAGTTGGCCAAGTAACTGCAGCATGACTGCTCCAGTTTGGGAGAGGAGAGATGTTCTTCATTAATGTTCTGTCATTGGAGAGAGGCTGGGAACAGTGGGGAGAAGAGCCATGGATTTAGGGGTATGTGGGATCGTTGACAAAATGGAAAGGGAGTAGTTGAAGCTCAAAAAAGGCTGAATTATGTTTGGGCAAAAAACCAGATTGAGTTACAAACAACCACTGCTGCTTTGCTCACTATTTTCCATCTCTGTTCATGAACCAACAAATAACATATGAAAGTATGTGTTTATGTTCCCTTTCCCAGGAACTAATTTTAAAACTGAAGCCAGGTTGATAAGTGTTTATTGAGCATGTCTTCTGTACCATACATACGGTGTGTGTGTGTTGGAGGGTTAGTTATGAAGGAAGACTAAGAGCAGTCTGTCTTCTTGGAGAGCGGGGTTGCTGTCTGGTGAGAGAAAGAAATCACAGATAATCATCTTACCCTAAAACAGTTTCTCTAGTATTGCATGTGTATTGGAACATAAGATGTTTAGTGGCAATAGAAAATACTCTCTGCCTATTTTTTTTTTTTAAATACTCTGCCTATTTTCTAATGCCTGAAATTCTCTTCACATGGAAATAATGGTTTTATTCTTTAAAGTGCAATAATTTTAAATACTTGAGAAAGATAATAGATATATTCCTAGTGAAGTATACTCAATCAAATATAAGCTTCTAGCATCAAATTTTGTTGTGGTTCAAGAGAGAAGTGTAGCATCAAAAGATATAAAAAGTATTTTATTAGATTGAGGTCCTTACTATCTTTTGTTGGTAGGGAAAACAGTGTGCAGAAGTATGTGGCTCATTCATTCCTGGCTCACACACATCACCACTCCTTACTGTTGACACTCCACACTATTAATAATGTGGGCAAGTTTATCACCTGCACTAAAAACCTGGTAAGATACCAGATTCTCATTTCCCTGGTTTAATTGTTCAGAGTTGAAAGGTGGAGCAGGATTTTGTGTCTGGAGCAGATAGTTTTCTGCCAGTACACTGCGGTTTAGCCGGTTTTAAGAACTGGAAATGTCATTTACATTTGAAGTAGTCTTTAGCCCAACTGTGGATGGATATTTTAAGTACTGGGTTATTTGTTAAGTTCGTCCCTCTACTGGTCTTTTGGGAAATTTAATGGAAACGCCAGCTACCATGTTATTGAAATCAATGAGAAATTATGTGCTCTGCCACAAGTGTATATACTTTTTTGGACATTTGCTGTTGATTTTTTAGAAAAACAGGATCTTCAAACCCTTTCATTATGAATGGGGTTTGGTCTCCTTTATTTTGAATCAAATATTTTCCAGCTAAAATTGTGTTATATGGCTTAAATTTATATTAATAAGCATTAACAGTTCAATAAATAAGTAAATTTATTAGCAATTTTCTTCAGAAATTATACTTTATAATTTTAAGAGATAATATATAGGACATAGTAGCTTTGGAATCACCTAAATGATTAATTAGATCCATTCAGATTAAACTGTGTGCTAGTTTGAAGGTTTTAACTTGAATTTGTGTGTACAGTATGGAATTGCTCAGCCTTTGAAAATAGTTTTGGATTGATGCTACATCTGTACTTTCTGGTTTCCTTACCTGGAACTCTGTCTTCTTTGACAGACAGGTATGTTGCTCCTCTTTGTTTAAAAAAAGGTTATCTAAAGTTGAGTCCTCCCCTCAGAATTCAAATGGAAAGTAAAAATACAGGTCACAGGGGGAATTTCATATGGGTATTCAGTGACAAATGAGCCAAGCTTGGTAGCCTTTTGAAATAAAATAGGCAACTTTGGAAAACTGACTCCGAATTAGGGTCTTATACCTTTATAAAAAATTACTTTTTAGATTGGAAATTGAGAAGTTTCTGGTCAATACCTTTTTTTGCCATTGGTCCAATTCTGTTCAGAAGTTAAGGGGCTTAAAATTCTGACCTTTTGGTTCTCTAAAGATTGAGATTCACCTGCCACAGATGCAGTCTGTGGATTTAGTGCTGCTCCTTAACAATGCAGGGTTGATTATAAAGATAAGCCATAGTTCCTGCCCCAAATACAGGGGAAGGGGCAGAATTGAACAGTTTAGACATAAATAAATGCTTTACATGTATTTATTTTGACACTTAATCTTGTTAATCTATTGCTATATAGCCCTGTTTTTCTAATGAGATTTTGAGCTCAGAGAGGTGAAACTGAAATTTTATGCATACTGCCCTTCTGAAAGACAGGAATAAGTAGTCAGACAAAATGATGGTTGCTAGGTGAGCGCTGTAACAAAGTGCTAATAAGACAGTTCAGGAAGAAAAAGAATCCCGTCTTGTGTAGGGAACAATAGAAACTTTGTGAGGGGAATTCAGTTTGACCCTGAATAGAAAGAAGAGACTTGGGGTTAGGAATCCATTTTTACCATCGGAACACCCTTATCTAAGAGAGACCTCAAATACACATTTTGGGTTTGTGAAAGTTGTCAAGTCTTGCCTGTAAGATTTGGGTTAGAATTCTAGGGTTCCCAATTCTCATTTTAAAGCCCCAGACTTGACCATAGAGTTTATAGAGGTGATCTAGGAGTGTTGCCTATACCTTGTATAGGATTGGGATTTGCACTTGTTTTATTGATATCATTCTATTTTCTTCCTTCCCTACTTATAATTATTGTGGTGGGTGGGAATTTGAGATGGGATGTCTTCAGGATGATGTTAAAATAGTCTGTCCCTTCAAGTTTGTACCAAGTGGCTGCTGAATGACTGGAAATCATTGACTTGGCCTGGAGACTCAAGACTTGATAAAATGCTTATTTTTTTAGACAGGGTCCTGTAGTTTGGGAAATAACTCCTAAAAGTGTAAGAGGGAAGGGAATGACTGGGCATGGGGAGATTTTTCCAGGCCTATGAGGTGGCTGGAGAAAAGACAGTAGAAATAAGAAAACATACGACATTCTATTTAAATCTTGGCCAGAGAACCTGTTAAGTGTTTGGGTCAGGAAAAAAACTAGGTTTGTGGCCTAAAATAATCATTCAGTAGACCTGACAGATTGACTCTCTCTGCCCCTTTCTCCTTGGAAAGAGAAATTTGGAATTCATGTTTATTTAAAATAGTTGCTCCTTCATCTTGAATTTTTTTTTTATAAAAAGCTTAATTCTGAGCAGCCAGCCTCGGTAAAACAATTTTGCCAGCTGTCAGTTACTTGAACATCCCCCAGATAAAGGTAAATGAAATAAGACTAACTACTTTTAGACTGCAGTGGTCTCTCCTAAAGTTCTATAACCATTTTTCCCAAAGGAATGGAGATGGTTCCATTTATCTAGAAGGCATTATTACTGTGTCAGTCTGTGTGTATGTACACATACATGTTTTGTGCAGGTGCTTCCCTCTCAAACGTTTTAGAGTTGATGGCTTTGTCCCTGACTGTTCAGTATAATAGTTTGCAGATTCACTAAGAGAGCTTGTGTAGTAATGCTTGCTTTATTTTTTTTCTCTTCCACTCTTGTTTTATTTTTTACTTTTTTTTTCTTTGTGATGTGACATTTTCAGCTGATGTATTGAAAGCAAATCCTTCTAATTTGGGAGCCCAGATCACAAGAGTGAGTTTTTCTACTAGTGTCTCTAGCTGTATATCTTTTTCTGTGTGTGTCTTTCCACCCTTTTCCCTCTCCCAATTCAAAAATACTCAAAACACATTTCATAAATATTAGATAAGAAAATTCCTCTGTCTGTTCAGCATCATGCCTTTCCACAAAGCAATGTCCACTTTATATTGGGTCAGATTTCTTTTCTCAGTGCTGTTGTAAAAAGCCTAGGTCAATGTATGTGTTCTGTTTTGGTTTGTTTGCCTTTCTATTACCTCGTATATTGGAACTCACTTTAGTTCTGTCTTCACTGCGGATACGTCTGGACTCCTGTCATCAGTGTGTCATAACACTGTTAGTATTTTTTGGTGGTGGTTTTTGTTTTAAGGATAATTACATATAGTATCTTCTGAGAATAAAAGACCCATTCTTTCATCAGGATTTTAAGTAATAAATTCTTTGGCTTATCTATTCTCCCATCTCATTCCCTGGTTGTTCCTCTTGGGGCCATAAAGGAATGAAAAGCCACACCTATTACTTTCTAATTTCAGCAGACTGACCAGATGAAAGTGGTCAGACTGGTGAGCTCTGAACATGCAAGCATTGGAAGACGGTTTGATTAATTCACAGGAAAACTGTTCATGATGAAAAGAATAGCACCTTTTTATGGTGAAATCAAAGTAGGCTTTCTATTTGTTAGTCTGATTCAGATAACCTTCCCATGTAAGCTGTACATTGCTTTTTAAGATCTTACACCTGGGTAATTTTCTGTACTGGCTTAACCCCTTTCTGTTCTCTCTGGCTTGTGTTATTACAATTTAACTCATATTCTATTTGTCTAGTTTTGCATCCTGAAAAAGCAGGTGATTAAATAGTCCCTTTTCTTTTCTCCTAGTGTTCTAAAATTTGTTTGTTGCTTCTGAAATTATTTAATTTTGGCCAATAAAGCAAATGGTGTGCTGTCCTAATTAGGAATGCAGATACTCCAGGTGCTTTACCCAGAGTAATCAGCCATTGTGTTTTCAATTACCATAAGAGAGTACAACAATGTATACTCTACACTATGCTATAACCATTGATTATGGATAAAAATTCTGAAAGCCTTGCTTTCAGGATCCCCAAGTTATTCTAAATCACCCACTCCCTGTTCCTTTCTTTTGTTACCTCAGAGATTGAAAGATCTCAAGCAGAGAGAGTTTGCTCGAAATGTCTCCTCAAGATCCCGCAAGGATGAGAAGAAACAGGAGAAAGCCCTACGGCGGCTCCACGAGTTGGCAGAGCAAAGAAAACAAGCTGAATGGTGAGGACATTGTCTCTCTGAGGGCTTACAAATAATTAATAATCTTTAAGATTTAAGAATTTAATAATCCTTTTTTAAAAAATTAAGGTATAATTGATATATAACCCTTAAATTTTAAATAGATCCTTCTTTCAAACTAAAAGAATATCTATACTTGGAGTATAATATACTGATTAAGAATATGCACTCCTGGAACTTCCCTGATGGTCCAGTGGTTAAGAATCTGCCTTGCAATGCAGGGGATATGGGTTCGATCCCTCATAGGGGAACTAAGATCCCACATAGATCAGAGCAGTTAAGCATGCATGCTGCAACTAAGACCCAAGGCAGCCCAAAAAAAAAAAAAAAAAAAAAATGCTCCTGAGGCCGTATCCTATGATCTGTGTGACCTTAATTATCTAAGTTCTGTGCCTCAGTTTCCTTATCTGTAAGGTGGAAATGATAATAATAACTTAATTCTTACAGTTGTTGTGAAAAGTCATTAAGTTGTTACATCAAAGTGCTTACAGAAGTGTTCCTAGCACATAGAAGATGCTCAGTAAATCAGTAAATTATGCAACTGTTATTCCCATTCTCCATCTTTTTTTGCCTCTCTGCTTGTGGGATCTCAGTTCCCAACCAGGGATTGAACCCCGGGCCACGACAGTGAAAGCCCTAACCACTAGATCACCAGGGAATTCCCCTCCCACATTATTCTTACGTAGAAAAGCACATACCTTACAGTGTTCTACTGGAGCACATATTTAAGTATTCTAACTGTCTTTCCAAGTACTTTAGAGTTGGTACTAAGCAATAAAGCCTAGGAAATTCTATTCATTTCTCTACAGATTCCTTCCTTCTTGAGTTTTGTTTTTAATGTTCCTTCATGGTTCTTGATGATAAGTATGGAACTGGTATTTAGCCTTAGGTGAAATTAGCCCGCCTTAGCCCACCTCGGGCTGCATTCCCAAGCAACTAGTCTTTGGTGGAGATAGTCTTTGAGCATCTGAGAATTCATGAGGTATGTGCCTCAATCTGAAGGATTTAGGTCCCTCTGTTTGTTTTTAATGGCTAGCCAGGAACAAGAGGAATTAGTTACAGTGGAAAGAAAAACTGTGACTTTTAAAAGTTTATGGTGAAGTTGAGGCCAGAGTTTTCAAGATTGTGACCTTTCTAGATTTTGGGGTACTTGCTTACTTATTAACTTCTCTTGTGTTTTGGAAGAAGGAGGAAGGAGGAGAACACATATAAGTGTAAGTTTTGAAACAGAATTAACCCGTAAACTCTAATACTGAGTTACAATGCCTGTAAACTGATTCTGATTTAGCAGTTCTTTATGTAATAAATACATTCCTCTCGGACTTGTTGTAAGGATACTTCCTTAAAAAATATATACCAGACCACTTTTTAGTTCCAGACATATTTTAATACATGTTTTTCTTCATTGGTGACTTTTAGTTCTGTTTTATTTATTTATTCAGTCACACTGTGCAGCATTAGTTCTGTTTTAGAAATAAACAGTTAAAAGATGACCAAGTAAACTCTTGGGGAAAAGAAGGTTTTGACCCACCAATCAGGTATATTTCATCGTCCTAGGAGTAATGCATGACCCCATAGTATTGTTGGAGTTGCATGGCAAATACTAAGCAAAAAGTCACAATAAATCCCTTATTTCAGTTTGAAGGTTTCTTTGCCATGGTGGGGGGGTGGGGGGGTTTGTGACACAGTGAGAGTATCTCTTGCTACCCCAGTCGGGTGGGTTCCATCTTCCAATAACAAGAGTTCAGGTAGCAAAGGGGGGTTACCATATTATCTGACTATATTTGGTCCCTGAGTTTAGGATAGCCAGTAGTTAGGGTTTAGATTAAGAGGACTTCATCCAAATAATTGTCTTCAGTTCTTGAGTTTGGCTTGAGAGATACCTGTAAAACCCACACACTAAAAGTTTCAGACATGACAGGAGTTTAAAACACTGGCTCTGAGGCTCCTTGATGTTTCTGTTTTCAAAGCTGAGAAAGTACTTGGTAGAATCATGATCGTTGTATGGAGTGCCCAGAAGGTGTCACAAAACCAAAGCAAATGCTTGGACATGGTGCCAGGAGATAGACACAGACTGTTCGTTTCTGTAACAGACATGCTAACCTAACCGCAGACCATCAGAGAGCAGCACAGTGGAGATTTCTGACTGTGTTCAACTCAAGGAATAGGCACATTTTAAAAAATTGAAATTTGAAAGCAGAGAAGAAATTGAGGGTTGTGTTTTTGTTTTGTTTTGTTTTTTAGCTGTACAAAGTACAGCTGATCCTTGAACAATGTGAAGGTTAGGGGTGCTGATGACCCCAGCCCCCACACAAACTCATACACCTACACAGTCAGAAATTGTGTATAACTTTATAGTCAGTCTTTTGTATTTGCAGTTCCATATCCAAAGATTCAGTCAGCTGCAAATTGTGTGACATGTATATACTAAAAAAAATCTGTGTAAGTGGGCCCTTGCATTTCAAACGTGCATACCCATATCATTCAAGGGTGAACTGTGCAGCCTTTGGGAATAAATTTTCAGCCGTATGTTTGGTAGCATACTGATGGGTAGGATGGTACAGTAAAGACATGTAAAGGATGGAACAGATACAGGACAGGTGGGCTGTGCCAAATGGTAATGATCATGTATTCAAATTGTGAGGTAAACCTCAGTATTCAGACAGCTTAGGAAGAAACAGCAGTAACTGGCTGTCCCTATGAATGTAACTTAGTAGACTAGCAGTGTGAGACTTTGCCTCACCTTAACTGAGCAGGTTCCTTTCGTTAGCATAGGGCTGAGGAAGGACTACCATTCAGTGTCTTTAAGATCTGCCTGTGATGAATGGCCAAACATAGGAGATAAGAGGTTTAGAAGTATGAGGAACTTCCCTGGTGGTCCAGTGGTTAAGACTCTGCACCTCCACTGCAGGGAGCATCGGTTTGATCCCTCCTCAGGGAACTAAGATCCTGCATGCTTCATGGCACAGCCGAAAAAATAAAGTAGTATGAAATGTACCCCTAAACCTGTTTTTTTGTTTGTTTCTCATTTTTCTATAAACCCATTGTGTAGTGCACCTGGAAGTGGTCCCATGTTTCGACCAACCACAGTGGCTGTAGATGAAGAAGGTGGAGATGATGAGAAAGAAGAATCAGCAACAAACAGTGGCGCAAGTACCACTGCCACTTGTGGCCTGGGATCTGAATTCTCCACAGATAAAGGAGGCCCATTCACTGCAGTACAAATCACTAATACCACTGGGCTGGCACAGGCTCCTGGGCCAGCCTCTCAAGGCATCAGCTTTGGCATTAAGAATAATCTAGGGACCCCACTGCAAAAATTGGGAGTGTCATTTTCCTTTGCCAAGAAGGCTCCTGTCAAACTCGAATCAATAGCATCAGTTTTCAAGGACCACGCAGAGGAAGGGACCTCTGAAGATGGAACAAAAGCTGATGAAAAGGGTACAGACCAGGGACTGCAGAAGGTGGGAGATTCTGATGGTAACAGTAATCTTGATGGTAAAAAAGAGGATGAAGACCCTCAGGACGGAGGGTCCCTTGCCTCAACATTATCTAAGTTGAAAAGAATGAAGCGAGAAGAAGGAGCTGGGGCTACAGAACCAGAGTATTACCACTACATCCCCCCAGCACACTGCAAAGTAAAACCTAATTTTCCTTTTCTACTCTTTATGAGAGCCAGTGAACAAATGGAAGGTGATACTAGTACACACCCAAAGAATGCCCTAGACAGCAAAAAAAGTAGTTCTCCCAAGCCTAAAGTCTGCATCAAGGTGACAGCAAGCCAAGGAGCAGAAAAGACAGTTAGTGAAATCTCCGAACAGCAGATGGAAACCAGTGCGACTGAGCCCTCAGAGCCTGGAAGCAAAGCTGAGACAAAGAAGCCCTCAGTGGGGGATGTAAGTGAGCATAGTTTAGAGAGTCAGAGTCAGAAGGATTCAGAGATCCAAATGCGTGAGTCTGACCCTCCTAAAGAAACTTCTCAGGCTACTCCAGCAGGGAAAGAAAGTCGGGAGGGACCCAAACATCCAACCGGTCCTTTCTTTCCTGTTTTAAGCAAAGATGAAAGCACTGCCCTCCAGTGGCCATCAGAACTGTTAATTTTCACGAAGGCAGAACCCTCCATTTCGTACAGTTGTAACCCTTTGTATTTTGACTTCAAGCTTTCAAGGAACAAAGATGCCAGAGCAAAAGGAATGGAAAAGCCGAAGGACATAGGAGGCTCCTCAAAGGACCATCTCCAAGGCCTTGATCCTAGTGAGCTACATAAAAGCCAGGAGGAGGAAGAGAGTGTTCAACATTCTTCAGGAGGCAGAATCGATGCACCTGCTTCAGGGGCTACCTGTAGTGGCCTAAATAAGCAAGAGCCTGGGGGTAGCCATGGATCAGAGACAGAAGACACAGGGAGAAGCCTTCCTAGCAAGAAAGAACGATCTGGGAAGTCCCACCGACACAAAAAGAAAAAGAAGCACAAAAAGTCCAGCAAACATAAACGGAAACACAGGGCTGACCCAGAAGAGAAAAGCTCTAAGGCAGAATCTGGGGAGAAGTCTAAGAAGCGCAAGAAGCGAAAACGAAAAAAGAATAAGTCATCAGCCCCAGCAGATTCTGAACGGGGGCCCAAACCAGAACCCCCTGGTAGTGGTAGCCCTGCACCACCAAGAAGACGGCGGCGAGCCCAGGATGATTCCCAGCAGAGATCCCTTCCAGCTGAAGAAGGAAGCAGTGGCAAGAAGGATGAAGGTGGAGGTAGTGGGAGCGCCCAGGATCATGGTGGGAGGAAACACAGGGGTGAACCTCCCACATCATCCTGCCAACGAAGAGCTGGCACCAAACGGAGCAGCCGATCCAGCCATCGAAGTCGACCCAGTAGTGGAGATGAGGACAGTGATGACGCGTCATCACGCCGGCTGCACCAGAAGTCTCCATCCCAGTACAGTGAGGAGGAGGAGGAAGAGGAGGAAGAGGAAGAGGAGGAGTCAGGCAGTGAGCATTCCCGAAGCCGCTCACGGTCTGGCCGGCACCATTCCTCTCGCCATTCCTCCCGGCGCTCTTACTCCAGTAGCTCAGATGCTTCTTCAGACCAGAGCTGCTATAGTAGACAACACAGTTACTCTGATGACAGCTACAGTGACTATAGTGACCGGTCACGAAGGCACTCCAAGCGCTCCCACGACTCTGATGACTCAGACTATGCCAGCTCCAAGCACCGGTCCAAGCGGCACAAATATTCATCTTCTGACGATGACTATAGCCTCAGTGGCAGCCAGTCCCGAAGCCGATCTCGGAGTCATACCAGAGAGCGCTCAAGATCCAGGGGCCGCAGCCGCAGCAGCAGCTGTAGTCGCAGCCGGAGCAAAAGGAGAAGCCGCAGCACCACCGCCCACAGCTGGCAGCGGAGTCGGAGCTACAGCCGGGACCGCAGCCGCAGCACCCGGAGCCCTTCACAGAGGTCAGGCTCCAGGAAGGGGTCGTGGGGGCACGAGAGCCCTGAAGAGAGGCGTTCTGGTCGTCGAGACTTCATTCGCTCTAAAATCTACCGCTCCCAGTCTCCCCACTACTTCCGATCAGGCCGGGGAGAAGGTCCTGGGGAGAAGAAGAAAGAAGACAGCAGAGGAGATGATGGTAAGGGGATAGGCCCACCCTCCCAGAGCAGCAGCGTTGGCCCAGGAAGAGGGTCAGAAGGTGACTGCAGCCCTGAAGACAAGAACTCTGTCACCGCCAAGCTGCTACTGGAAAAGATTCAGTCAAGGAAAGTGGAGAGGAAACCCAGTGTGAGTGAGGAGGTGCTGGCCACCCCTAATAAGGCCGGGCTCAAGCTCAAGGACCCCCCACAAGGTTATTTTGGACCCAAGCTCCCCCCTTCTCTTGGCAACAAGCCTGTCCTCCCTCTGATAGGGAAGCTCCCAGCTACCCGAAAGCCCAACGCCAAGAAATGTGAAGAGTCTGGCTTAGAAAGGGGAGAAGAGCAAGAACAGTCAGAGACAGAAGAAGGGCCTCCAGGAAATAGTGATGCCCCATTTGGACATCAGTTCCCCTCAGAGGAAACAGCTGGCCCCTTATCAGACCCACCCCCAGAAGAGCCAAAGTCTGAAGAAGCTGCTGCTGATCACCCTGTGGCTCCGCTAGGCACCCCAGTGCACTCTGACTGCTATCCTGGGGACCCATCCATCTCCCATAACTACCTCCCTGACCCCAGTGATGGGGACACCCTTGAATCCCTGGATAGTGGCAGTCAGCCAGGCCCTGTGGAGTCCAGCTTGCTGCCTATAGCATCAGACCTCGAGCCCTTCCCCGGTTACGCACCGCCCAGTGGGGAACCCAGTATTGAGTCAGTTGATGGAGCCGAGGATGCATCCCTCGCCCCCCTGGAGAGCCAGCCCATCACCTTCACTCCCGAGGAGATGGAGAAGTACAGCAAGCTCCAGCAGGCCGCACAGCAGCACATCCAGCAGCAGCTTCTGGCCAAGCAGGTGAAGGCCTTCCCCGCTTCGGCTGCCCTGGCCCCAGCCACTCCAGCCTTGCAGCCCATCCACATTCAGCAGCCGGCCACGGCCTCTGCCACGTCCATCACAACTGTGCAGCACGCCATCCTACAGCATCATGCTGCAGCAGCTGCTGCTGCCATTGGCATTCACCCCCACCCTCACCCCCAGCCACTAGCCCAAGTGCATCATATCCCCCAGCCCCACCTGACCCCCATCTCCTTGTCCCACCTCACTCACTCCATCATCCCTGGTCATCCCGCCACCTTTCTGGCTAGCCACCCCATCCACATCATTCCCGCTTCGGCCATCCATCCCGGGCCCTTCACCTTCCACCCTGTTCCACACGCTGCCCTCTACCCTACCCTGCTGGCTCCCCGGCCTGCTGCAGCAGCTGCCACTGCCCTCCACCTTCACCCACTGCTTCACCCCATCTTCTCAGGTCAGGACCTGCAGCACCCTCCCAGCCATGGCACATGAGTTAGGGGGTAGGAGCCTAGATGGGGCCAGGGAAGGTGACCCATGCATCTTCCTTTGGGGTGTCGAGCCATTAATACCAGCAAGTAGAAGCTGGAATGGGCAGTGTCTGACAGCCAAAGAATTGAGTTTTGGCTTGCAGGGGTGGTTTTAGATTTGAGGTTTGCTTTGGGTTTACTATCAGGGATTTTTTTCCCTTTTTCCTTTTCTGTTTGTCCCTCCCTCTCCTGTGTTTCTAGGCTGGGAACACAGTAAGTGCTGCCCACCCCTCTTCGGCAACACCCCCAAACTGTTGAGTTTAGATTCTCCCCTCCTCCCTCTACTTTTTATCCTCTGCACTTCTGTGTATAAATTTTAAAACATTTTCCTCCTCTCTGGCTGGCGGGTTGTCCATCCGGTCCTGCCTTCTCAGTGTCTTTGACCTTGGTGACCTTATTTATCCCGGGTGAGGTGGAAAGGGAGTCTGACCTGGAACCAGATGCCACTCAGCCTGTCATTCGATCCACTTCCCACACAAACAGAGCCACACATTTGGCACTGTTGTCCTTGTGTCCCTCATCCCAGAAGAGACATCTGCATATCCCAGAAAAGAAGATCGTATCATGAATAGAAGCTGCGGAACAGAGAGGAGCTCATGTGTCTGAAGGGTGTATTTTCTTCTGTCATGTTGATGTTTCCTTCTTAATTTATAGGATTTTTTTAATGTAAAAAATTGCACTGAACTCTATAAACGTAAATGCTGCTTTTTGTAGCTCATATAAAAAAGGTTCCATATTTGTAGTATACTGCAATAATATTTTTTACATCCGGCTCTTTAAGTGATCCTTGTTCTGGTGGCTTTGTGTAAATATGTTTGCCCTAGTTGAATTAAGAAACTTTAAAGGTTATCAAATGAAAACAAACAAACAAAAATAAAGTATTTGTTTTCTGCTAGATGCAAAAATGACTAAGCATGTATATTTTATCAAGCTCATGTATTTTTTGAAGTTATGAACCATAAAATGTTAAAAAGAGGAACATTGCTTAACATTTTTTTTTTGCTGAGACATAATTTGCAGTAAGTGGTGCCGCCAGTACTGGGAGTTTTGAACTAACAGGCTGCAGTCAGCTAGGGGTGTTGAGGAATAGTTTTGACAGTCTCCCTTATGTGGTTTGCGTTTCATACAGAGAAACTGGTGGGCCCCACAGAGGAGGAGAGAGATTCAAGAGCTTTATTCTCTGGAAGCAGTGAGATTCAAAGTGATTGTCCTGGGGGATTCCTGGGTTTCCGCGGCGCCATCCCAGGCAGTCCATTTGCCTTCCTAGTACTTAGCCCCCTCTGACAACAATTTTTAATGTGCCTTTTGGGTTGGCTAGAAACTGAAGTAGAAGTAAACCGGAGTGTGGCAGAGTTGGGACGGTCTTCCTCCTCCTCTTACTGAGAGGTGAGCACATTTTTAGATTCTACAGATTTTTTTGCTTCATAGTTTCCATGCCTCTACCCAACTTAGTTTAAGCAGTAAAGATTCCTTTTTTCTTTTCTCCATGACCCTTAGCAGAGGAAGTACCACCTCAATTCCTCTTCCTCCTTATCGTTCACCTGGCTCTCAGTCCTAATTAATACAGTGACCCAAAGGTGTTCATCTTGTAGATCTCATCTTCTTTGATGTAGTTAGAACTTCCCTGTCGGGCATTTCCCTACCTACTCCTGTGGCTAGAATTGGTTGGGTGGTCACCTGACAGAAAAAACAAAACCCTATGTATGTGGGCCAGGGCTCCGTGTTCTGCCTTTCTTCAGTTTCCAAGACAGAAAGGCTTTGCATTCATGTCAAGCAAGTGCTGGGCAAATGAAGACTCTGTTGAGCCTTCTACCTGTTCAGTGCTCCTCATCTGATTCAGAAGCATCACTTTTTTGATAAATAGCACTGGAAAATGAAATCATCTGTTTGTGAAGTGAAGGGACTCATTTTTCTTTGCTTTCAGCCCATGTAAATATTTAAATAATACAGTATTAACATTTTTGTGCTGCTTCCCGTTAGCTTGTAGATTGAGCCATACTCTGGCTGCCTCTCTACCTTCCTGGGGGCAGTTTCCTTTAATTTCCACAATAGTGATTTTAAAACTAAAAAAAAGGAAAAACAAAATAATCTATCCTTACTTACAAGCATAACAGATTGTATTTAACTTTATCACATATGATAGAGATATATACGCTGTAAAATTAGGGAAAGGAACTTTCTAATAAACCAATGATTTGTGGAAACTTTTAGAGTTTGTCGTGATTGTTGCCCCATCCACTCTGTGGGGAAGGGGTGGAGTTATGGGTCACAAATAACATGTTGTATGAAGTGGTCAAAGGGTAGATTTTTATGAACCAGCTGTTTATGATGTTTAGATTGTGCTTCTCAAAGCTCACCCTGCGCAAGTAGAGGGGAAAGGTTATGTTGTGGGAGGAAGTGATGGTTAAGTTTCTGTCAGTTTTATGTAGATGTCTTGGAATGTATACCTCCTTTCCACCAACTCTCCCAGATTATTTTTTTTCCTTTTTGGCTGCATTGGGTGGCATGCAGGATCTTAGTTCCCTGACCAAGGATTGAACCTGTGTCTCCTACAGTGGAAGCACGGAATCTTAATCACGGCTACCAGGGAAATCCCGATTTGGGGGCTTTTGAGTGGACTTCAGGGCAGTGAGTTGAGTCACCTGCCTAGCCTTCCCCTCCAGAGTCCTGAGTCCTCCAGTACCAGTCCTGAGTTATTGTCAACCCTTTACTATGAGTACAGTGCTAGAGAGCTACCTGGTAAAAGGAAGCATGTGCCAATTGTTACTGAGCAGTTAAAATTCTCTATCTACTCTTCTGTATGCAAAAGGCAGGGGAAATTGTGCAGCAAATGCTGACCATAGTCCTGTAGTGATGAATTAGTTTCCTCTTTTCTTCAGCCTTTCTGGAAGGAACGGCACAATGTGTATTTCTGTTTTCCTACTCTTACATAGTTGTATTCTCCCTTTGACAAGCTATTCAACTTGAACCTTGGGTTGGATGCTCAGATCTGCCAATTTCTCTAAAATAGCAAAATCCCCGCCCCCAAATAAAGGATGTTAGAAGATGAAAAGTGGAAATTCCCTGGTGGTTAGGACTCTGCATTTTCACCACCATGGCTTGGGTTCAGTCCCTAGTCAGGGAACTAAGATCACCCCCCAAGTCTTGTGGCACAGCCAAAAAAAGAAAAGTGGTGTTCTGAGCAGGCAAGGTATCATCAAAGAGGCAGACTGACCTGTAGAGATCCTCCATGTGAAGGTCTGTGCAGCTGCCTGATTGCAGGCGGGGTTCTGCTACCTGCCTCAGCCACCTGGGCTGCACCATGGAAGTTCCTCCTCCTCTCCGCCCTCAGTGACTAATTCAGGCCTGTCAGCCCTTGCCACTCTTGTTTGCCGTGGGTACCATCGCCTCCTTATCACGTGTCTGAATTATTGCAGCCTTTTCCTGGCTGGCCTCCCTGACTCGGATCTACTGGATTTTCAGCATTGTGGTTCATTTAGTACTCACTGCTTCCCAGTAAAATAGTAAACTCTTGAGAGGGCAGAGACCAGTTCTTACAGATTTTTTTTTCTTAATCCCTTAGACTAGTGTTATATAGGGAGTTGAACACTTTCAGTAACACTTTGATTATGTGTTCAAGAAAGATAAAAGCAAAGAAAATACTATTAATAACAGGATTATGCATCAGGATTTAGCAAGGAAGCATCAAAGATGAAGATTTTTCTCTATATCCTCCACATTGCCTAGCTCACTGCCAGACCCATGGTAGTTCAGTAATTGTTGACTTTATGAAGCCTTGACGTTCATTGAGAGATTCGAAGACTTAGGCTGATGAGATGGAAAAGGGAGAGCAATGTGTCAGCCCTCCTCTGCCTACTGTCAGCCCAGCTGTGTCCCCAGCAGAACTCCCACAAGGAATAGAATATTGAATATCAAAACTGTCCCGGAGTCTGATCCTATTTGAGTTCATGAGACTACCATCCTACCAGCCAGCCACCATAGCTCTTGAATTACTTTTGACAGCTCCCTACCACATGGCAGTTACTGATCATGTAAATCTCTGCCCTCTCCTTTGCTCCTGCCACCAGTACCCTGGTTCAGGCCTCATCACCTTTAACTCAGAGGATGGTAGGCACCATCCATCTGATCTTCCCACTAAGTCCTGCCTTTTTCAGTCCCATCTACCCATAGGCAGCTAGTATAATTCTGATTAGAGCACCATTGATCATGTATCATCTTCTCTGATTTATTAAAAAAATATATATATATATGATTCTCCATCTCCTATGGATTAAAATTCAGATTTCTCAGACATTCAAGGACCTGCAGCGATGAGACCCCAGCCTGCATTCCACCCTCATGCCCTGGCCCTCACCTGTGTTGACTACTTACCTTTCTCTATAACTGACCTCTGTGTTCTGCTCTCTGTTATTTCCTGTGTTGAAAAACCCCTCATTCTCTGACAAAAGGCAATATAGTACAATGGTTAAGAACATGAATTCAAGCACAAATGTGTTTGACACAGTTTTTGCCACTCTGTGTACACTTGGACTACCTAAAACTCTGTGCTACAGTTTTAGCATTTCTAAAATGGACATAAGTAAGTGAAGTTGCTCAGTCGTGTCCGACTCTGTGACCCCATGGACTGTAGCCCACCAGGCTTCTCTGTCCATGGGTTCTCCAGGCAAAAATACTGGTGTGGGTTGTCATTTCCTTCTCCGGGGGATCTTCCCAACCCAGGGATTGAACCCAGGTCTCCCGCATTGCAGACAGATGCTTTAAACTCTGAGCCACCAGGGAAGCCCCAAATGGACATAATAGTAGCTAATTCATAGGGTTGTTATGAAGAAGCTGATAATATAAATGACCTCAGCTAGGCATCAACCCTACCTTTTCCAAGGCATTTACTATCCTACTGCAGTTACATGAGTTCATGTCACGTCTTAACTTTCTCCGGACTAAGTTTTTTAAGGACCCTTGACAATTGTCTTTATATCTCTTACCACTCAATGCCTTGAACAGAATGAGAATTTATTAAAAACCTTGGTGAAGTGTGAGTTAATTTGGGGCTACACCGGGTACACCAGTAATACAGTTCTTCTCAGTTGAGGACAGGGGGAGGGTCGAAGGTTAAGTACAGGACTGAGTATTACGTGCCTGCTGTGAGCTTGGCACTGGGAATTCAGCAGTGAAGGAGGCCCAGGCTAAAGTTCAAGGTGCTTCTAACCTAGAAAGTGATAGGATTTTGAGCTGTGTGAATTTTGAGGAGGTGAATTATGAGGACAAAGGTAGTGCTGAAGGGATGCCAGAATAGCCTGGGGGAGTTGGGCAGGATAAGATGATGGTTATGTTTGATCAGAAAATGTAACAGCCCTGGTAGTCCAGTGGAATCCACCTTGCAATGCAGAGAACTTGGGTTCGATCCCTGGATGGGAAACTTAAGATCCCACACGCCGAAGAGCAACAGTTCCCACACCGCAACTACAGAATCCTTCACCACAAGGAAAGATCCCAGATGATGCAACTAAGACCCATCGCAGCCAAATAAATAAAATATTTAAAAAGAAAATATGAGCAAAAGCAATGTGACTATGTTCTTTACCCCATCAGATCTCTTAAATTTCCTTCTTGACAGCCTGCTTTTTTGGGAAGACAATGCAGCGCCAGTAAGACTTGCTTGGCACTCCTCTTCCTCTGAACATCCGTTTAAAAAATGCCCTTTCTGCTCAAAACTATTCCTTTTCTTTTCACTGTGTGAGCCTGCATTTGCATCTTCCAGTCCTCAGTGCCTGCTGCTATTCAGTCTGTCAGCAATGCCTACAGTATGTATGCTGGGCTCTTGGCAAGGTCCTGGGGCACCAGAAAGGAACCTCATTCTCAAGGGACCCGTTGACAAAATCCAGTGAACAGACTATGACTAAGCAGTGTGATCAGTGCTGCACCCCTGTGTGTTAACCCCAGAGTGCCAGCCCGAGGAATTGAGGGAGGCATCCCCTAGGTAATGACCCCACTAGAATCAAGTCTTAGTGATTGGACAAAAGCTCTGTCACCCAAGAAGGAGTTAGACCTGCCTTCACCTGAACAGCTGGTGCAAATCTCAGAGCCTGTGAGCCAGAACACCCTGGGATGACTCCACTTTACCCCCATCTCCTCCCTTCAGCCAGGATCCATTCACCACCCCTCCCCCAGCACTGGCTACATCGCTGTGGCCACATTAAGACTTGGCCCCAGATGAAGGATGAGTGAGGAAGCTGTTGTGCCAATATGACTGAGTGAAGCTGCCAAAGGTCCTAGAAGGAGGAAGTGGATAAGTGCCTTATCCTTTTAAGGATACAGCAGCCTCAGGTCTTATCAGGGGCCAGGACCTTCCTCACTCCTTCCCCCACTTCTGACCAAGTCACAGCGTGCCTTGGCAGCGCAGGGAACTCTGTGGGGGTAGGAGGACCTATAGAACTGGGCTAGAGTGGAGGCGTGTTGCACTATTCCAAGCAGGAAGCAATGGTGGTTTAGACTAGCATGGTGGTAGGAGAAACAGAATGAAGATTCAAGAGACATTGTTGAAGAGCAGAACAAGCAGGACTTGATGATAAAATATGTTCAAGAAAAGGGAAGAATTGGCTTTCAGCCATGAGCATCCACCCCCCAGGGTGGACTTACTCTCTTCCCAGCAACCCTAGAAACCATATGGCCCAGGACTCTGCCTACTGCTCAGCAAGTGGGTTTCAGCTTGATAAGAAAAGACTTCCTGTGGTGGAACTGAAAGAGGAAGCTACCAACCCATTAGTGCCTAGGAGGCTGTGGGAGGAGGACGATGGCCAGAGCTCTGCGTCTGCTTCGTGCCCTCTGGCTTCTGGAGTGGGTGCAGCTGCTCTTGGGACCTGGTGCTGTGCCTCCAACCTGGGCCTTGAACCTGGACCCAGTGCAGCTCACTGTCTACACAGGCCCTAATGGCAGCCACTTTGGGTTTTCACTGGACTTCTACAAGAAGAGCAATGGGAGGTGAGCCCTGGGAAACCCCCACCATCGCTGCTTCTGTGGGTCTTGAGTTCCACATTTGTGATAGAGGTTGAGCAAAGTGATTTCCAGGGTCTATTTGGGCTGAATTCTTGTTAGGAATACTGGGGTGTCAGCGAGAGGCACCAGTGGGGAGCTGGGCAGAGCAAAGACAAAGGGGAGACCCATGTTGATGCCTTATTTTTTCCTCAAGGGTCAGTTTTATGACCCACTCCACCCTTATCCCCTTGAAATACAGAAAGGAACACATGTCTTAAGTTGACCTGCAGAACTGTGAAATTGTCTATCTATTCCACTTTGCTTTTTTATTCCAATCCCCTCAACCCAGCAAAATGATTGATATTTGAAAAGAAGCAATAGAGCATTATTGGTTGGCATTGATCAGGCTGCAAATTCAGACTGCTAAAATTAGTCTTGACTCTTTCTCTCTATAGGAACAACCTTGAGCTATTTCCTTATTGAGATGGACACTAAAGTCCAGCTTCAGAGTATCAGCACCTTGGGGAGTTGCCTCTGCTAAAGAGGGCCACCTCCCTCAAAGCTCCCCTACTTCCAAATGTGGCCCAGGAACAAATGACTAGTCAATGAGGAGTGTGGAGGGAGGGGAGAGGTTAAGAGTCTGACTCTCTCATCTCAACTCCAGACAGTTCTGAGGGTCTTTCTAACTCCAAAGTTCCCAGGACATTGACCCATGGCTGTTACTCGGTCTGAATCTCAAGTCAATGCGTCCTGCCTGATCCTGCTTCTTTCTCCTCCTTTTCACAGATACTGGTCTCATGGGCACTACTTAGTAAACATCCTGCAAACTAAAAAGATAAAAAAATTACAGCATTTTTGGAGCCCTCATTATGTAGTATTTGGCTGGCATTGGCATAAATGTTTCTCATGCGTTTATTTCATTTACTTCTGACAGCACTGAATCTAGATCTACTAGAGTCCTTAGAAATGTCAGCACCCCACCACCCACTTTAGAGGTGCCCACTAGCTTAATATTTCCTGGTTAAAATTGGTTCTCAGAAAGAGATCTGATGCCAGTTCAGACAGGATTACGGTGCATGGCTCTTTGTGGAAAGTGTTGGGGAATGTAGACTGTGTACAGAGTTTAGGTCTCTTTTAGCAAGGCTATCAAACCCCTCGTGTTCAAATCAAACCTAATGGTTATATTCTCAGTTTTAACCTTAATTCCCTCGGTTACTGATGGGTATGTGACTTTCCTAGCTGGGAGTCAGTTTCACTGACCATAAAATGAAAAGGTTGGCCTCTATGGTCTGTGTCGTCTGACTGAGAAAAGATGATCCAGTGACCCTCGAGGCACACCGCCCTTCCGAGGAGGAGTGCTCCCACCACAAGCACTGGGGCACGAGGTACCCCAGAATCCACGGAGCGCTCACTCAGCTTTCTTATGCAGTGTGTTCGTCGTGGTGGGCGCCCCACGGACCCTGGGCCGCAGCGAGGAGGAGACCGGCGGCGTTTTCCTGTGCCCCTGGAAGGCCGAGGGCGGCCAGTGCAGCTCGCTGCCCTTCGACCTCAGTGAGTCTCGCACAAGAAGAGAAAGGGAGGGGCTACGAGGAGAGCGGGCAGCCGGGCTTCAGCATCCTACCCCTTCTTCTGCCCTCCAGATGATGAAACGCGAAGCATAGGCACCCAAACTTTCCAAACCTTCAAGGCCGGGCAAGGACTCGGGGCGTCGGTCGTTAGTTGGAGAGACAGCATTGTGGTGGGCGCTACCGGACCGGGATCAGGGAGCAGACGGAGGGCGGGGACACGTGGAGGGAGGAACCCGAGTCCCGCCCCTTCCCCATTCTCCTGTGGCTCTGCTTCAGGCCTGCGCCCCTTGGCAGCACTGGAACGTCCTAGATAGGAACGAGGAGGAGGCTCAGAAGACTCCCGTAGGTGGCTGCTTCGTGGCTCAGCTCCAAAACGGCGACCGCACAGAATACTCGCCCTGCCGGGCCAACAAAATGAGCCAATTTTACGAGAGAAATAATTTCAGTGAGCTCCGTTTTGGCTCCTCCCACTCGCGGCCGTTATCCATTAGCCCCGCCCTTCACCCGATCTCTCTTGGCCTCCAGCTATCCCAAATCCTGCCTGCAGTCTGGGGTCTCCCAGATGGCCCAGTTCTTGACTCCGCCCCCGCGTCCTGCCTACTGGATGTCAATGCTAAGCCACGCCCCTATATTATCCTGTGACCCCACCCCCCAAAGCGGGCTTCTTCGCTGACCCTTCCATTCTGCCTCCTCTAGGGGAAGACAAGCGTTACTGCGAGGCCGGCTTCAGCTCGGTAGTCACTCAGGCGAGTAGGGAGCATAAACGGCGTGGGGGTGGCCCCCCAACTAGGACCCCCTCTCACCTCCAGAGCTTCTATTTCAGGCTGGGGAGCTGGTGCTTGGGGCTCCTGGCGGCTACTATTTCGTAGGTACGTGCCCATCCATGCACCTCCCTCCCTTCACTCGACTCGGACAGACCCCAGACTCCTGGGCGCCCACACAACTGTCCCACGCGCCCTAGGTCTCCTGGCGCGGGCTCCAATCGCCGATATCATCTCGAGTTACCGCCCGGGCACCCTCTTGTGGCACGTGCGCACCCAGTTCACCTACGACCACAGTCACTTACAGTACTACGACGGCTACCGGGGTAATGTGGCACCTCCCTTCGAGGCTTCCCAGCACTCAAGTGTCACCGCCGGCCCGGCCCTACCCCTGCAGGAACGCCCCATTGTCAACGCTGGCTGGCCAGCCCCAGGACTAAGGCGCCCCCAGTCTGCTCAAGCAGCTCCCTCTCCCTACCCTCTGCAGACCGCCCAGCTCCCAAAGGCGAGCACGTCGACTTCTCGCACTGAATTCGCTTCGTGTGCCTCGGGCAGGTCTTGTCCTCTCGGTGGCCTCGATTTCCCCCGTCTTCGCAATGCAGAGTTTGAACTGGGTGGTCTCTGAGTCCCCTCTCACTCAGGCCCCTTCCCTGCTTCACCCTCCCGGAAGGACTAACTCTCACTGTGCCTTCAGGGTACTCGGTGGCCGTGGGCGACTTCGACGGAAATCCCAAAACTACAGGCAAGAAATCACTTAGGGGTGCGGTTTGGGGAGTCCTGCCCAGAAGGGAGCACTTCCAAGACCCGCATTGAAATCTCCCTGGGATGCGGAACGGTGGGCGGGAGGCAGGTGGGGGTTCCAGAGACCTCACTTTCTGGGCCCGGCTCTCCCCAGAGTATGTCTTCGGTGCCCCCACCTGGAGTTGGACCCTGGGAGCGGTGAGTGCCCTCCGTCCACCCCTCACTGATTTCACTCTTCAGCCTGAACCGCGCCCCGCCCCCCCAAACTTCCTGCCCATCTGCCGTGGGCTCAGCTGTGACATGCTCCTGTACGTTTTCTGAGCAGGTGGAAATTTTGGACTCCTACCACCAGACGCTGCACCGGCTGCATGGAGAGCAGGTGAGGATCAGGTGGGGGAAGGATCAGAAGGGGCCAAGGCCAGGGAATGAGACCCTGGAATATTCCGCGAGACATGGTGGGATGGAAGTGTGAGTATGAGGACAGAAATTAAGGTGTGCCCCATTTCCTGCAGATGGCTTCGTACTTTGGGCACTCAGTGGCCATCACTGACGTCAATGGGGATGGGTGAGAAGCCAGGCGCCCCCACCCCTACCCACTTGGGTCCCAAATTACCAGAGGTGTTGACTGCCCTCGGTCTCTGGTCTCTTCCTTTCCCAGTCCTCACTCACACGTGACCACTGAGGGGAGTGGGAGGGCAAGGATGGATAAGCCTGGGCTCAGGCCCACAGCATCCCCCTAACCCATCCCCACATAACCGCCCGTTGGGCCTGCAGGAGGCATGACCTCTTGGTGGGCGCACCACTGTACATGGAGAGCCGTGCTGACCGCAAGCTGGCCGAGGTGGGGCGTGTGTACTTGTTCCTGCAGACTCGAGGCGCCCGAATGCTGGGGGCCCCCAACCTCCTGCTGACTGGCACACAGCTCTATGGGCGATTTGGCTCAGCCATCGCACCTCTGGGTGACCTTAACCGGGATGGCTACAATGGTAAGGCAAGAGAGAAGGGGTTTATAGCCATGACAAAGATCGTGGATTTGACCTGAGGGTAGCGGGAGCCAGGAAGGGCTTTGAGCAGGAGAGAGTTAAAGGAGACCAGTTGGGATTTGTTTGCATTAGTCCAGGCAAGAGATAGTGACCACTGGGATGTGGGCTTTGGCAGCAGAGTTAGAGATGAGGGTGATTTCTAGATAGTTATTACTTAGATTATTAGAACTTGATCGGTGACTGGAGGTGGGGCTAAGAGAGAGGAGTTGGGTGGGTGGTGGTGCCCTTCACTGCCTGAAACTCAAGTCTTGCCACAGGCCTGGAGGGAGATCAGCAGATCAGCTCTGCTCTCATTTGATCATTTTCTTTTTCTTTTTTTGGCCACACCACACAACTTGCTGGATCTTAGTTCCCCAATCAGGGATCGAACCCCATACCCCTGGCAGTGAAAGCACGGAGTCCTAACCAGTGGACCGCCAGGGAATTCCCTGGACTTGTTTGATCATGAAAGGCTTGGGAGCCTTAGGCAGACATATCCAGGGAACAGTTGGGTGTGACTTCCCCCATTTCCAGCAGAGAGGTCTGAATGGGAGACAGGGGCTTGGGGAGGGTTGATGAGGTCCTGGGAGCTTGCAGAGTGGGAAGAGGCCCAGGAGAGAGCCCTGGGGAACAAGAGCATTTAGGGGACTCCCAGAAAAAGTGGGTCTAGAAAGGAGACAGAGGGATGTTCAGAGGGGTAGGAGGGAAACTAGGAGATCTGATGGCCCAGAACTCAAAGGAAGAGTGCTGGAAGCAGAAGGAAGCTGGGTCGGTGGCTCCAGATGCTGCTGAAAGGTACAATTAGATGGGGCTGAAGAAGTAAGTATTCCTGGGCTTTAGCAAGAAGGAAGTCATTGGTGACTGACAAGAACCAATTCAGGGCTAGCTAGGGACCAAAGCCAGAATGTCATGGTGCAAGGTATGAATGAAGGTGAAGAATTGATGGCAGCCAGAGTAGACTGCTTTTTCTACTGGTTTGTGAAAGGAGAAAGAGAAAGGTGATTACTGAAAGGAGATGAGGGTTAAAGGAAGGCTATTTTAATTGTAAAGACTATGTAGTAGGTGGAATGTGGAGGAAAATGATCTTGTGGGGAAATAGGGGCAGGGAGTGAGCTGGAGGTGGGTCCCTGCAATGCCTGAGAGATGCAGGGCTGGAATGCTCAGGCTAGTGGCAGGTGTAGGAGGGACACTATTCTAGGGTCAAGAGGGGAGAAGAGCAAAAAGCACAACAGTTTGGTTGCTTCTCTTTGTGAAGGAAGTGAGAGGTGGGGAGCTTGATTGAATGGAGAAGGTTTGAAACAGGTGCTGAGCAGAAAACCTTGAGGGACTGCTAGGCATACACTGAGGCTCCTGGTGATGGCTGGAGGTCAGGAATTCCCGGTGCCCAATGTGGTGGGGTCTGGCTAGGACTGGCCATGGGGCGGAATGGCTGAGGATATGGCGAGGGTAATCGAATGTTTAGAAAATAGGTGGAGAGATGGGGAAGCCAAAGATCAGGTGACTGGGTGAGACTGTGTTCTGAGCCTATCAGAAAAGTCAGTGCATCTTTAAAAGAAAAAACTGCACAGAAAACATACCATAAAGTCAGAAGGCAAGGGAAAGACAGTTACAACATATATATCAAAGATCTTAATTGCCATCACAAGCAAAGAATTCTTACAGGTTAGTAAGATTATTAATGATTGTTATTAATGATGACTACATTTTCAAGACTGGTCATTAAAGTTATGAGTGATGACAAGCCCATGGTGTGACCCTGGGTTTACATGGTGGGAGTAGAATACCCCAGCTGAAGAGGGGGCAAATATTTAGCAGGTCTTGGTTACTTAATCTTCTGGGACTCTATTTTCTCCTTTAAAATGGGAATAATAATGCCTAGTTTTCAGGATTAAAAGAAATCATGACAATATATTGTCCTCAATAGATAGTGAGGGCTGTTAGACTGTTTTTACAATAAGCTGACTTGATGGGTCTTCCTCCCATCCAATTGTAAACTCCTGGAGAGTGGGGCAGATGCTTCCTTGCTGGGACCCCTGCATTCCTCTCCTGCTCCCCTGGGGTCTGCCCAGAGAAGAAGCTCAGGGAAGTGTTATAGGGCCTGGAGCGACTGGATAAGAGATAGCCACTCCCTTTCTGTTGTTCTTTCCAGATGTTGCGGTAGCCGCCCCCTACGGGGGTCCCAGCGGTCAAGGCCAAGTGTTGGTGTACCTGGGTCAGAGTGAGGGGCTTAACCCATCCCCCTCCCAGGTCCTGGACAGCCCCTTCCCCACAGGCTCTGGCTTTGGCTTCTCCCTTCGAGGTGCCACAGATATCGATGACAACGGATACCCAGGTGCCCCTGGACTGCCTCCAGCTAGACAGGAAGGGGCCTTGGGCATTAGCTGGAGATACTGAGAGACACAGCAAGGGGCTTGAACCTGACCTGGTGCCCCCCTGAGAACTCTGTGGGGTGGGGGGCCAGATCAAACCTCCTATGGGGAAGGTAGTGTGGGAAACCCCTGAGAAAATGAGATGAAGACCCCATAAGTCTCTAACGATTCTGACACCACCCCTCCTTCTCACAATGTCTATAGACCTGCTTGTGGGAGCTTACGGGGCCAGCACGGTCGTGGTATACAGGTGAGCGCTGGCTCCAGGGACGGGATGGGGAAGAACCCACCCCATCAGAGACTAGGTCAGGAGGGGCCACCAAGGCAAGCCTCCCAATTCCCACCAGGGCTCAGCCAGTGGTGATGGTCACTGTCCAGCTGATGGTGCAAGATTCACTAAACCCTGCCATGAAGACTTGTGTCCTGTCCCAGACCAAGACCCCAGTGAGCTGGTGAGGAAACGGAGGGTGTGGGCCAGGCAGGATCTGGGACCTCAGCCAGGCAACCCTAGCCCCTGAGCCCCATTCATCTCCCTGCAGCTTTAACATCCAGATGTGTGTGGGAGCCAGTGGGCACAACATTCCCGAGAAGCTGCGTGAGTGGCACCCCGGGGAACAGGAGGCAGGTGGGCCTGGGCTCCCCTGGAGGCTGGCCCAGGAGACTCTGACGCACCCCGCTTGCCTGGGTCAGACCTGAAGGCTGAGCTGCAGCTGGACCGGCAGAAGCCCCGCCAGGGCCGGCGGGTCCTACTGTTGGACTCTCAGCAGGCGGGCACCATCCGGGACCTGGAACTGAGAAGCAGACACAGCCGCATCTGCTCCAATGCCACAGCCTTCCTCCGAGTATGCCCAGGCTGGGGGTGGGCAGGGCTGGGTATGCAGAGCCTGTTAATCCAGCCTCGGGGCGTGGGGCCGGGCGCTGCAGGGGTGGTCAGCGGGACACACAAGGTAGGTAGGGTACGTGGTAGCAAGACGGCCCGTCTCTTGCCCCCTTCCCTAGGATGAGGCCGACTTCCGGGACAAGCTAAGTCCTATCGTGCTCAGCTTTAGTGTGTCCCTGCCGCCCGAGAAGGATGGGGGAGCCCCTGCTCTCGTGTTGCACGGAGACACCCACATCCAGGAACAGGTAGGGGTGGGCAGGTGCAGGCAGGGGAGGGGGAGGACCCCTGCAAGATTGTCAAGGTTTGGGCTAGTGTCCACATTGACATCCGAATAGACATCCAAACCTGGATGTCACCTCTAATCTCTAATGTTTACTCTAAACCCTAATGAAAACTGCCAAATCTCAATACCCCCAAACCCTCATACAAACTTCAGATGTTGACATCACCTCTAAACTCTCATTTAAACCCTGATGTCTACCTGCTCATCTCCCACCTGAGAGCTTCCATTTCTCCACGCTTTCGTTTAAGAGCCATGATTTTTTTCCCTCTTAATTTGGAAGAGGAGTATTTGCTGATGGCATCCAATTCAAGAACTGAATTATAAAATCTGGAGATACATGTTAACAGGAAACTTTGCTAACGTTTGATGGATTTCCTTGCATCATCAAAGCCCTGACATCATCCCAAACCCTGAGGCAAACCCCAAAGCTCTGATATCATCACCAACCTTCTTTTTCTTCTCAGACCTTCTAATTCCCCAAACCCACTGTGACCCCCAAACCTACCCACCCACATGATGTGTCCCCTCTAGACCCGCATCATTCTGGACTGTGGGGACGATGACCTGTGTGTGCCACAGCTGCAGCTCACTGCCAGCGTGTGAGAAGACCGCCCACTGCCCCCCCACACCGCCCACTGCCCCCCAACACCACCCACTGCCCTCCCACTTCGCCCTGTCTACCCTGATGACAGCCCCTCCCCACCTGGATCCTGATACTCTGGCCTCAGCCCGTCTCCTCATCCCAGACCCTGGGCTTGGACCCGGCCTCCTTGGCTTTACTCCCTTCTCAACTGCCACAGGAAGGGCTCCCCACTCCTAATTGGAGCCGACAACGTGCTGGAGCTGCAAATGGATGCGGCCAATGAGGGTGAGGGAGCCTACGAGGCCGAGCTGGCCGTGTACCTGCCCCCAGGCGCCCACTACATGCGGGCTGTCAGCAACATGGAGGTGAGCCCCCACCCGGGCATCGATGGGGACCTGGGAAGTACAGGAGCCTTGATTCTCATCTCCCACCTGAGAGCTCCCATTTCTCTATGCTTTCCTTCAAGAGCTGTGATTTTTTTTCCCCTCTAATTTGGAAGAGGAATATTTACTAATGACATATAATGCAAGAACTTGTATATAAAATCAGGAAATAACTGTTAACAGGAGCCACCGTTTACATTTGGTTTTGGATTTCTGTTAAATTTGGATTTCCTTGTGTTCTTTTTTCTCGACTTGGATACTTACATAGGTGTATATTTTTTTTATTTTACTGATGCAGTTTATAACAATGGAGTTACCCTCCATGTGATGTTTTGTGGTTTTCATTTTTTAAAAATCATTAAAAAGAATAAGATGCTACAGTAATACATAAACAGGAATGTGACAGTCCTGAACTCCACCTCCCCTTGAAACCCTCCATTCCACCCTGGAATCCTCCCCACCCTGACTTTCCAAGGGAGCTTAAATACAGAAGGGATGCTGTGTAACCGTCTTCTTCCTCGGGACTGCTTCCCCGAAGGGCTTTGAGAGGCTCATCTGTAACCAGAAGAAGGAGAATGAGACCAAGGTGGTGCTGTGTGAGCTGGGAAACCCCATGAAGAGTAACGCCCAGGTGAGGCCACTCAGTCCTAGGTGCTGTGTCTCCTCTACCAGGGGTTCATAGACAACTGGGTTTTGGCGGCTGGGTTTGAAGTGAGATGGCTCCAGACTGGAATCCTTGTCCTCTCACTCCCTGGCTGTGTGGTCTTGGGTGAGTGACTCCCTCTCTGAGTGGTCTTCAGGACGAGGACTGGTGGCCACATTCAGAGTGGGCGTCACATTCAGAGTGACTCTGGTCCTCCCCGTGTCTCAGATAGAAGTCATGATGTGGGTGAGCGTGGAGAAGCTGGAAGAGGCTGGGGAGCAGGTGTCCTTCCTGCTGCAGATCAGGAGGTATACTAGACTGAGGGGCACTCCCTCCCCCTGTCTGATCCCCACACAGAGACCCTCAGATGCCCGCCACACAGAAGGGTTCTCTGGGAGGCATGCTCTTTAGACTTCCCTGTTTCCTTACTTCCTCAGAGACTTATTTCTGAGTTTTGGAGCCCTAGAGGAACTAACTTTACTGTGGCATGCTGTTTGTGGAGTTAGCTCTTCCTGAGCCCTCTGATATTCTGCCCCCTCTCCCCTGCCCCCTGCCCTGAGAGTCCTGATGTTCACTGGGCTGGTGTCCTGATCTGTTTCTCCTCGGCCCCCTTCCTACAGCAAGAACAGCCAGAATCCAAATAGTGAGATGGTGGAGCTGGATGTGCCAGTCCGGGCAGCAGCCCATGTGGAGTTGAGAGGGTGAGAGGCCAAGGAGGCAAAAGGGAGTTGTCAGGCACAGCCCTGAGGCTCACGGGGTCCTGGGCAAACCCCCACGGGCAAGTCAGGGGACCAGGCTCACTCTGGGGGTCTCGGACCCCTGCAGGAATTCCTTTCCAGCCTCGCTGGTGGTGGCTGCGGAAGGAGGCGATGGGCAGAACAGCTCTGACGGCTGGGGCCCCAAAGTGGAGCACACCTATGAGGTAGGAAGGAGGCTCCGGGCCCCAGGCTGGGGTGGGAGGGTCCCAGGAGCTGGTCTTGGTGCTGAGCCTCGTAACATCTTGCCACCACCGCCCCGCCAGCTCCACAACAATGGCCCTGGTGCTGTAAGTGGCCTCCGCCTCAACCTCTACCTCCCCAGCCAGTCCCAGTCCTCAGACCTGCTCTACATCCTGGATATTCAACCACAAGGAGGCCTTCAGTGCGCCTCAGAGCCCTCTCCCAACCCCCGCCAGGTGACAGCCCGCGTGAATCCCTAGCCCATCAACCAGGGCCCCTGTGGGAGGGCTGACACGTGGGCAGAGCATGAGACCTGAGGGCCTCTTTGCCTCCTCAGCTGGAATGGAGGCTGCCCACCCCCAGCCCTTCCCCGGCCCATCACAAGCGGGATCGCAGACAGGCCGTCCTGCCGGAGGAGAAGCAGCCCTCAAGGCTCCAAGACCCAATCTTGCTGGTGAGCAGGCTCTGTGGTCTCCAGCTGGGGCCGCCCTGGGGCCCAGAGGCAGAGGGAATGGGAGGCAGGGAGAGAGAAGGGTGTGGTGGGGACCTCATGTGGGTCACCTTGGTCTCACATGGACCTCCAGGTGAATATGAAGGACTGTGCTCATCTTGTGTCTGGGGTGGGGTGGGAGGTGGGGGCACTTGTATGTTTCAAGGTATCCAGTACAATAAAGAAAATGAACAAACGCCAAAGCAGGGTTACAATAAGGCTTAGTACTGAACGCTGTACGATTGACCCACTTCTTCCTGCCCTTTCCCTGTATCTCTGGGACAGTCTGAGCAATCCCATTCAAAGATAATATCCCAAGCTTGAATCTGAGGCCCTTCCCGACTGGCCCAAGCTCTTCGACCCCCCAGCCCCCTCTGACTTGGGTCCTATGATGGGGTGATGATGGGTCAGTAGGGGCTGGGGACCAATGACATGTCCCCTCAGAGCTGCGACTCGGCGCCCTGTACTGTGGTGCACTGTGAGCTGCAGGAGATGGAGCGCGGGCAGCGGGTCATGGTCACGGTGCTGGCTTTCCTGTCGCTGCCCATCCTCCAAGAGGTGAACCGGGATGCGGGTGGGCGGGGCTTTCTAGAGGCGGAGCCTGATGTGCTTGGGGGCGGGGCTTGTGTTGGGGGGGGCTTTAGGGGCGGGGAGAGAATGAGGGCTGGGTTTAATTTGGAGCAGACAGACAGGGCGGATCTTCCTACAGCGGAGTCCGAGGCCGGGACTCCTGCAACCAACAGGCCTCCTGTAAACGCCTTTCACCTCCACCCCATCCAGAGGCCCCTGGATCAGTTTGTGCTGCAGTCGCACGCTTGGTTCAACATCTCCTCCTTTCCCTACTCCGTGCCGGCCCTCAGCCTGCCCAGCGGGGAAGTTCTGGTGGGTGTGGAAGGATGGTGGCAGAAAGGGTCCCGCGGGTCTCCCATTAGTCTTCCCCTGAGTCCCTGCCCAGCCGGGACTGCCTGATCTGAGAGGTGGGACAGGTAGGTGGCTTGGCCGCAGGTCAAGTCTCTGAGTCTCTGGGAAAGGCAAGTGTCCCGGTGACTGAGGAGACCCGCGGGTCTCCCCTCAGGTGCAGACGCAGGTGCTTCGGGTCTTGGAGGAGAGAGAGATACCTGTGTGGTGGGTGCTGGTAGGCGTGCTGGGCGGCCTGCTGCTGCTCACATTCCTGATCCTGGCCATGTGGAAGGTGAGACGTGAAGCAAGGTTGAGATGGGGGGGAGGGGTGTAGAAGTGAGGTGTGGGGGTCAGAGGTGAGGAGGGCAGGCAATCCCACAGGGAGGCAGAGAGAGATGGTGGCCCAAGTAGATGACCCAGGGTCCATCTGATTTCCATCTCTGCTATTAGAATGTCACCCTCCAGAGGATCTCTTCCAGGGCACAGGTCCCTGGGAGAGGTGGCACCTGAAATCCTAAGGCCTTTATTTTTTTTTAATCCTAAGGCCTTTAGATCAGCTCCCCCTGAGAGCAGGAGTCCCAGGGACTGAGTCTTGCCTTCTGGAATCCATTGACCCCTGAGAATTTTCACCTCCTCCCTGGTTTGTCCCTCCCCCAGAAGGACCCAGGTCTTCCCGCTCCGATGTGTCCCTGGTGGGTCACTCCCTCCTCTGCCCCTGGAGAACACCTGCACTGTTTTCAAAGTCGCTCAAGTATCCAAACCCTAGAAAGCCACAGTGCTTTTAGGGAAAACATACATTAGACTTATAATAATCAAATATATACCATCACAAGCTTGAGTCATATAGAGACATAATCATCAGTACTTAAGAAAGATTCAGGAAATGAAAAACAGAATGTTAAAAAAAATTTTTTTTTTGTTTCATGCATTATCTCTAAATGGGAAATGCCTCCACTTGATCATATAGTGCGGATTGTGTTGGTCCAGGGTGAGGACCTCGTGGCTGGCTGGTTTCTAGCATACATTTTCCATTGCTGCTCTGGGGCTGAAAAATCACCTTTACACCCCATCCCTGGCCCCTGCACACCCCCCAGGTTGGCTTCTTCAAGCGGAATCGTCCACCCTTAGAAGAAGATGATGAAGAGGAGTGATGAGCCCACACATCTCGGTCCTGGCAGCAAGGCTGAGTGTGACGTTGTGTCCCTTCCCAACGAGTGCCCCTCCCCCATCTCTGGTTGCCCGAGGCTGGGAGGGTGACATTCTACTAGTGGAGATGGAGATCAGATGGACCCTGGGTCATCTACTTGGGCCATCATCTCTTTCTGCCTCCTGATGTCCTCTCCCTCCCATCAGAGCTGAGTCACCCCCTCTCCTGCTGCCTAATAAAGAATTTGGACCCCAACTGCACAGCATGCTGCCTCTTCTTGGGCGTCAGAAGAGGAGAGGGGCCTGAAGTGATGTTTGGGCTGAGGAATCTAGGACTGGAAGAAGTGTGAGCAGAGAGGTCTCTGCCAGGGTTAGGGTGCAAATTACTGTCTTTGGAGAGTATCAGGAGTTAGAGAGTGGAACAAGGGAAAGGGGATGGCAGAGCCTCCAAGTGAGACTGGAGGTGGATGGGGTGTCTCAGGGTGGTTGGGTGAGAGGGGGGTTGGGTGCATCAGAAAAGGGAGGCTGAGTCCCTGGTGGGGGAATTTAAACAATATTTTTTTCCATGATTTTGGAGGAAATAAACCCCAAGATGAATTGAGAGTTGGGGAAGTAATACGCTGTCCCCACTCTCATGAAAGAAGGTCCTTAAAGCTGTATTCAAGGATTTCCTTGGTGGTCAGTGGTTAACAGACTCACCTTCCAATGCAGGGGTTTGATTTCTGGTGGGGGAGCTAAGAGCCCACATGCCTCGTGTTCAAAAAATCAAAACATAAAACAGAAGCAATATTGTAACAAATTCTACAAAGAGAAAAAAATGGCCCATATAAAAATGTTTTGTAAGATTTATTTATTATTACTTTTTATTTTTGGTTGCTCTGGGTCTTCCTTGCTACACATGGGCTTTCTCTATTTGCGGAGAGCCGAGACTACTTTTCCTTGCAGTGAGCTGGGCTTCAGTAGTTGCGGCACACAGGCTTAGTGGCTTCCAGACATGTGGGATGTTCCCTGACCAGGGATGGAATCCATGTCCACTGCACTGGCAGAGGGATTCTTAATCACTAGACCACCAGGGAAGCCAGGCCCCCCCAAAATCTTTAAAATAAAAAAAAAAAGATGTTCAGAGTGAGAAGGGGCAGAGCGAGGCTGAGTAAGCCCTCAGTCTGAGGAAGGCAGTTTCAGCAGGGCAGAAGAGCAGGCATTGCTCTCTGGCTACTCTGCTGCTTGCTGTTCCTTCTTCCCCACTAAGGGAAGGGGTCTTCAGTTTGAAATGAAGGAACAGGCAGGGAGCTCACAGGAGAGCTGGGGGTGGAACACAACTGTCCCACGGTGGAGGCTGGAGCCAGTGAGCAGTGGTGGGGGGTGGAGGGTCCTCCTGGAGTCCTGAGAGATGTGTTGGTTCATGAGTTCAGTTAATATTTATGGAGAACCTACCATGTGCCTAGTCCTGTTCCAATGCTAGGATGGAGCAAGGGATAAAACAAAGTCCCTGAGCTCATGGAACTTACATTCAACCATGAGGAAAGAACAAACAAACTAATGTATGATCAGTGGGGGTCAAAATAAAGATAAGGAGACAGTGATCGAATAAGTGGTGTTGGGAGAGGGCTGACATTTTAGGGAAAGTGGTCAGGGAAAGCCTCTGTGATGAGATGAGCAGAGAGATGAGTGAAGAGATTCAAGGAATTAGATCTGATAGAGTGCCTGAAGAAGGATGGATGGAGGTTTGTGACCTTGTACAGGAGGCAGTGATCAAGACCATTCCCAAGAAAAAGAAATGCAAAAAGGCAAAATGGTTGTCTGAGGAGGCCTTACACATAGCTGAATAAAAAGAAGAGAAGCTAAAAGCAAAGGAGAAAAGGAAATAGATACCCATTTGAATGCAGAGTTCCAAAAAATTGCAAGGAGAGATAAGAAAGCCATTCTCAGTTATCAATGCAAAGAAATAGAGGAAAACAATAGAATGGGAAAGACTAGAGATCTCTTCAAGGAAATTAGAGATACCAAGGGAACATTTCATGCAAAGATGGGTACAATAAAGGACAGAAATGGTATGGACCTAACAGAAGCAGAAGATATTAAGCAGAAGTGGCAAGAATACACAGAACTGTACAAAAAAAAAACTTCATGAACCAAATAACCACAGTGGTGTGATCACTCACCTAGAGCCAGACATCCTGGAGTGCGAAGTCAAGTGGGCTTCAGGAAGCATCACTATGAACAAAGCTAGTGGAGGTGATAGAATTCCAGTTGAGCTTTTTCAAATCCTAAAAGATGATGCTGTGAAAGTGCTGCACTCAATATGCCAGCAAATTTGGAAAACAGCAATGGCCACAGACTGGAAAAGGTCAGTTTTCATCCCAATTCCAAAGAAAGACAATGCCAAAGAATGTTCAAACTACCACACAATTGCCCTCATCTGACATGCTAGTAAAGTAATGCTCAAAATTCTCCAAGCCAGGCTTCAACAGTACATGAACCATGAACTTCCAGATGTTCAAGTTGAATTTAGAAAAGGCAGAGGAACAAGAGATCAAATTGCCAACATCTGCTGGATCATTGAAAAAGCAAGAGAGTTCCAGAAAAACATCTACTTTTGCTTTATTGACTATGCCAAAGCCTTTGACTGTATGGATCACAACAAACTGCAGAAAATTCTTCAAGAGGTGGGAATACCAGTCTACCTTACCTGCCTCCTGAGAAATCTGTATGCAGGTCAAGAAGCAACAGTTAGAACTGGACATCGAACAAAAGACTGGTTCCAAATTGGGAAAGGAGCATGTCAAGGCTGTCTATTGTCACTCTGCTTATTTAACTTATATGCAGAATACATCATGCAAAATAGCTGACTGAATGAAGCATAAGCTGGAGTCAAGATGGCTGGGAGAAATATCAATAACCTCAGATGTGCAGATGACACCACCTTCATGGCAGAAAGTGAAGAACTAAAGAGCCTCTTGATGAAAGTGAAAGAGGAGAGTGAAAAAGTTGGTTTAAAACTCAACATTCAGAAAACTAAGATCATGGCATCCAGTCCCATCACTTCATGGCAAATAGATGGGGAAACAATGGAAACAGTGAGAGACTTTATTTTGGGGGGCTCCAAAATCACTGCAGATGGTGATTGCAGCCATGAAATTAAAAGACGCTTGCTCCTTGGAAGAAAAGCTATGACCAACCTAGACAGCATATTAAAAAGCAGAGACATTACTTTGCCAACAAAGGTCTGTCTAGTCAAAGCTGTCATTTCTCCAGTAGTCATGTAAGGATGTGAGAGTTGGAACATTAAGAGAGCTGAGCACGAAAGAATTGATGCTTTTGAACTGTGGTGTTGGAGAAGACTCTTGAGAGTCCCTGGAACTGCAAGGAAATCAAACCAGATAATCTTAAGAAAATCAATCCTGAATATTCATTGGAAGAACTGATGCTGAAGCTGAAACCCTAATACTTTGGCCACTTGATGTGAAGAACGGATTCATTGGAAAAGACCCTGATGCTGGGAAAGATTGAAGGCAGGAGGAGACGACAGATAATGAGATGGTTAGATGGCATCACCGATTCGATGGACATGAATTTGCATAAGATCCGGGAGTTGGTGATGGACAGGGAAGCCTGGCATGCTACAGTCCACTGGGTCGCAAGGAGTCGGACACGACTGAGCAATTGAACTGAACTGAAAAGGCCTGAAGTGGGAGCAGGCTTGACGTAGTCAAGCAAAAGAAAGGAGACCCTTGGGCTGAAGGCAGGTGAGGAATCCATATGAAGTCAGGGGTGGGGGCAGGCATGCAGCACTTTGCAGCCATGGGGAAGAACTTTGGACTTGATGCTGAGTGCTGGGCGAAGCCACTGATGAACAGACTTACCACACAAGAGCTGCTGGCATTTGATTTTACCCAAAGGGGTAAAAGGTAAATTATGTAAAGAGAACAATTTGACATCCATGCATGGCAGGTTCCAGAACAGGTTTCTTCATGGGTGACTGTGACCATTTAGGAAAAGATTAAGCTGTGAACCTTGAATAGCAGCCAAACCCTCTCTTCCCACCGCCATTGTAATTGGATAGCCCCAGACAATTTATCTTGATCCAGCAAAGCATTTGGCATTTATCCTTATAAACAAGACAGAAATATGACCTGGATGATAGAGATGCGGATTTAAAATTGAACAATTTTGATAAAGCAAAGGCAATCTCTGTGGGGGCGTCCTAAAGCTCCATCCTTGGGCTACCTGGTATTGTCATGAGTCCTGTGAGTGCAAGCAGCAAAGCTGCTTTCACCCTGCAGATGGCTGCTGGCTGAGAGGCAGCTCCAATACAATGGGTGATGAAGCAGATTCAAGGCAGCCTTGACAGATTGTGAAGTTGGGTTGAAACCAACAGGATGAAATTCACCAGGAATGAGTGCTGAATCCTGTGTTGAGGTTGTGGGGGAAAAAATGGTTACATAAGAATTAGACGGGGGAAATATGAATAGATGGAAATTTGTGAGAAAGAAAGAAAAAGGGATAGAGGGAGGGAGGGAGGGAGGGAGAATGAGAGACAGAGGAAGGGAAGGAGGGAGGGAAAGAGAGAAAGAATCAATCAGGTGGTTTTGTTCACAAGCTCATAATTATGTGTCCTTGTCAGGAGACCCAACAGAGGCACCTAACCAGGAAAAACGCTTGACTTCTGAGGGATGGGAGTTCCTTGCCCTAAGTGTCCAGGCCCCTTCAGGGCACCATATTGTGAGAAAGCGAAGGTGACAAGCAAGAGAAAACCAGAAGAGGGATACAGATTAGATGAGGATTTGACCAAGTCGAATGATAAGGATGACCAGAAACTGGAAAGAAGGAGAGATTGGTGGGTGCCAGGGCAAGCTTCCAGTGTGGAATTCAAACATGGGGTTCTAAGCATTTGGTTTGCCCAAGGATGAATATACTACTGGGCAGCGGTGAGCCTCACCCTGAGGGTGAACCTCACCATGAGTCAACAGCAACATCTGCTGTGCTCCAGTAAAGCACCCTTTAC